CTCCAAAAGTAAAAGAAAGTGCTAAGTTCCACGGTGAACATTATTGTGGTTTGATCCTTCGGAAACAACGCTTCGAGTCGCTCGCGCGCAATCGAAACCTCTCTGTGTACACCAAACCAGGGATTGGGGACGACACGCCGTACGGTGAACCGGCCGGCCACCGGTGCGGCTTTCGAAATTTCTTTGGACAGACACTTTGACGACCTTTTCATATTCCGCAGGAAACCCCGCGGGTGTGCACAGTTTGTGGGGGAAACGCCATTAAAGTTGACGCCCCGTCGTGCTGTATACATACTTTTTCTTCTAGGCTAACTAGTTTTCGATTTGCAACTTTTGCTTTAAGAGAAAATTTAGGCCTACTTTTATTCCAATTTTGGGCGTCTGCAACCCTCTTAAAAAGGAGGTTCATTTTGCATACAAAATGATTCAATTTTTTTGAAGGAATAATTCAGTTTCTAAACGTCGTTGGAGTTCTAGGAAAATAGCAATTGGAAAATCAGTTATCGAGGTGAAACTCGAAAATGGCATGGCGACGCAACTTTAACAATGTACGCCCATCATAATAAGCAGGTTTTGTGGGGGGTATTGAGAAATATATATACCAAAGAAAAACAGAAGATAATTGGGTACATTTATAGAAGAAAAAGAGAAAAACATTGTCAAACTAAAACACGTCCAGGATGTGTCGTAAATGACGCTTTTTAGCTGCTCCAACTTGCAATGTGTGTTTTAAGACAATTATTAAAATAATAACATTTAATAGGGAGCGTAAATAACACATTATAATTGCTTTAATTTTGTGCTGTAGTATCATCAGATTCATATCCTACATTCGATTCAACCCCAGCTGGCTCGCATAGCAAAGCATACATGTAAACAAAGCGTGACGTCATTTTTGTCTTAAGTCTTTTGGGCGACATGCGGACACTGAGTTTCAATACCGTATGTGGTATCTTTCTTTCTATGCAATTGCCTACGCTGCCTAAGCGGCATGCCCCATTCGCTCTTGTATCGCGATACTGGAACAAAAGAGGAGAAGTTGAACAGGCGAAGGCTTCCTTTTCACATTCCAATAACGTATTATATAAGCCTACGGTTTGAACAAAAAAGTTACGCAACGGGGCGGAGGACTCATGCGAACAGTGCGTTGCACCCGTCTTGAAACAAAGACCGCATCTTGAAAGCAACAGTCCTCTGCAAAGAAACTGGTGAACAATCGTCCTCGGAAATAAAGCTCAAGAGTCGCTCGCGCGAGACCGAAACTTCTCCCTGCGGAAACTATTATTAGGAATAGACGACACATAGTGACCAACATAACATGTTCCATACATGCTCGTATCAGTCAGCTACCGTCCCTACTATACGGGCACTGGTACGAGTCTGGCCCGCCACTTTGCGGCCTTCAGCAAGATACATTTGCGATCCGTGATTAAAAACAAAACAGTGAAAATCGAACCTGTCATAAAACATGTTACAAAGTCATGTAGCTTAAAATTCTACAGCAGAATGACATAAAAGAAGAGCCATGGTCAAAGTGAAAGTAAAGAGGAAAGGAGATTACCTGTTGAGACGTTTCGTTAGAAGTCAGTCTAGTTCATTTCATTGATATCCAGTCTTCGCAAATCAGTGCACTGTATTATGTACAACAGAGGAATGAAAACTGTAGATGAATCCATAAAAAAAAAAAACAGTTTTAGGCATTGGTCTATTCAGAGACAAAGTGATAAAGCAAAATGCTGTATTCCGAGAAAAAGGTTTACATGAAGATAAACAAGGATACATACTAATAATTGTATAAGCCAACATAGGAAAGTAAGGAACAAAATAGCTATAGTTTCATATTTCAAAGTAATTACATTAAGCAAAATATGTATAACTTCTCCACGAATCAGAGGAGAATATTACACCTTGGTTCCCTCGTAGTTAACAGGTTTTGAAGCAAATGAAGTATTAAATTGCGGATAGAAATGAAAAATGTGCCGAGTATTGGGTGATAATATCGAAATTCCAAGAAACTATGGATTAAAGAGTATAACTCAGTAATAGACTGAAACAATGCGGAAAAACTTTAACACTGCGAATGTACCGTGTACGAATTCAAAATTTCAGCAAAAGTGTAATAAAACAGATTCGTTTAAAAGTCGTTTACATGTATAGGCCTATATATAGTTTGTTTACGACGGGAGTTCAGAAGTTTACATGCGCGAATGAAGGCAAAAGCGCAGATTGAGCTGACAATCCTCCAAGTGTTTCAAATAACATATTACGACTCAGTGGTTTCAAGATAACTAAGTGGCCCAGTGGTTAGGGTCGTTGTCCGCAGATCCGGGGTCCGGGGTTCGAGTCCCGTTGGTGCAACTTTTGGTTTTCAATACACGCGCTAAGTCTTTTACTATAAGAGTCTTAATTTCCCGTCGTCAAATACCAACCGACCTTAGCTCAATCAGTTAAGTCACCGGCTGGGACTGTCTGCGAAGTCCAGGTTATGCATCTACTCATAGGTACGGGGCTCTTTTGCTGTCTCGGCAGCAAGGCATAGGGTGTCGCCTCGTTTCCTCCCTTAACGGTGCTTGGCCCTCCGGGGTTACATGGATGGATAGGGAAGGAGGTGTGGTGGGCCGGGGAATCCGAGACCCAGGAAGAGCCCTATATGGGAGTCGGTAACCAATCGCGACCCCTGAATGCTTGGTCAACACCACATAACTTTTTGTTTTTCTTTATCCCTCATTTTTTTCCCCTTGTCGAGACTTTATAAGGTACAGTAAAAACACAAAGGTTTTCTTCAATTTTATTTTTTAATAATATGCAACTTAATATGTAACAGATATACCAACAGTCCAAACAGAAATAAATTCAAACATACACAGTGATCGTCTCTGCCTGCACGGGTTGTTACTGGGTTGTGGGAAGCAAATATTGATAAAGTGGCTTGCCCAAGGACAAATGAATACTTAAATAGCAAGGCTGCTTGTTAGGACCGCACGAGGACTCAACTGCATCCAATTCACTCCACTTGGAGTCTTGCTGGTTGCCTTTTGCAACCTCTGCTGCACTCCCGAACAAGATTAAGGCCCATTGAACGTGAAGCCCGGTAAAAAATTCTTGACAAAAATAGGGTAAAAACTGTTCTGCAACTTCCTGCATCTGTCATCTGGCATTAGTCGGTAAAGCATCGGGGAAAACATCACACCAACTTAGAGAGAAGACAGTGTAGTGCAACTTTGCGGAAAAAATGCAAAATTAGGCGAATTAGGCGAAGGGTTGCCTAAAGTGGGGGACTTAATCCCAAAATCTACCCGTGACATTTTCATGTAGAAATAATTATCATAAACAACCATAATATCTTATTTGGTGGGATTTCTTTGAACCAGTGTTGCCACTGCTTGATTTTTTTTTAATATCTTGAGAATTTGAAAACAAAATTGAAAAAGCCAAGAATCTTGACAATTTTACCACATGTGCTCACAAATTCAATTTCATGAAGAATTTTTGAAGAAGTTTCAAACTTTTTATAATACGATGGAATTTTTTACGGTTGTGTGATTTTTATTTTAAATTTGTTTTCTCCGTTGAGAATATTAGGTTTTTTTAGGCTAGATTTGACAGCTTTTTTTGATAAAAGGAACCCAGCAGAAAATCTAGCAGAATGAAAATTATAGCAGATTTCTAGCACTACAGAATTCTGAAAAATCGGTGATCATACCTGAATAATATAGCAGATTTGTTTTCTTAAGGTTTACATTAGGTTTACACAAGGTTGTGTAATGATTTGCAAAGGCTTGACAAATCTGGAAAATTTCGGATGCTGATCTTGAAAAAAACTGATAACTAGTCGTCACCACCACCACCAACAGCACCAGAGCAGACTCGCACAACAGCGCCCTCTTGTAACTGAATGTTTATACTCGTCCAATCCTTCCATATGAAAACACGTCGTTTCCAGTTAATTCTTGGTCTGTGAAATCATTGTTTATGACTCCTAATCATCAGTTGCCTGAATCATCCAATCACCAGGCTAGTTATAAATTCCTCTTTGCCTAAATTACAGAAAGTGAGTACAATTTTGGTTGATGTAGATATGATATTTGGGGGGATTTGACTTCATGTTTAATGTTTACTTTTTGGGTTGCAATCTAGGCTAATTCTACCTCCATGGCTGTACTAACTTTAAACACTTTATTGGAATTAGATACGCTTGCTACACATGTTTTATGGGTCACTTCTACGGGGAATATTTAGGGGGAAAATGTTGCAACCTGACGCCACTTTTTTCTTCATATATCATCTCAATAAAGGTCATTCATTGCAAAAATGATGACAAGACATGCATCTGGCACTGAGAAATATTTCCAATTTTGTTAGGAAATACTATTTTCTTGACTCTCCATAGATTTTGTACACAATCGCGGAAGTGGCGTCAGGTTGCAACATTTTTTCCACCCTTTCCCCCCTGTGTTCATGTTATGTTAGTCATGATGAAGTAATTAGTAAACCATGTTTGTTATCGGAAAATGTACATGTTGTATGTTAATATTTTTTTAGTCAACTAGGTCCCAAACTAACTCGTTACGAGTATGGAGCTATAAAAAGCTCAATTTTAGATTCATAGCCGAGTCAACTCGGTCCCAGGTAACTCAGTCTCAGCTTTCAGCTCGGTCCCAGGTCAACTCGGTCCCAAGCTTTGAAAGCAAGTTGGCCCGGTCCCGTAAGTTAACTCGGTCCCAGGTAACTCAGTCTCAGCTTTCAGCTCGGTCCCATGTCAACTCAGTCCCAAGCTTTGAAAGCAAGTTGGCCCAGTCCCGTAAGTTAACTTGGTCCCAGGTCAACTGTGAAGTCTAAGGGAAAATGTACTTTAGCAAGGTACTAGCACCTACCTCCATGGTACTAGGGGCCAAAATCAAATTGAAATTGCACCATGTATGGGTCGTGCCTCAACAATACAAGAGACCTTGAAATTTTCTGACCTTTGTTTGTGTATATTAATTTGTTTTTCCTCATAGGAACCGAGTTGACCTGGGACGGAGTTGAGCTGGGACCAAGTTGAGCTGGGACCGAGTTGAGCTGGGACTGAGTTGAGCTGGGGCCCAGTTGACCTGGGACTGAGTTGATCTAGGAACGCGTTGACCTGGGACCGAGTTGACCTGGGACCGAGTTGATCTAGGAACGAGTTGACCTGGGACCGAGTTGAGCTGGGACCGAGTTGAGCTGGGACCGAGTTGACCTGGGACCGAGTTGAGCTGGGACCGAGTTGACCTGGGACCGAGTTGACCTGGGACCGAGTTGACCTGGGACCAAATTGGTTGGGGACCAAGCCGTAGCCTCTGTTGTCTAACAGGTAATTGCACAGGCATTTGGATGAAACATTAACCCACTACATGTACCTACTTTGTACAAGTGCACACTATAGGAACCTAAAAATGCCAGTCTTTGTAGCATTTTGAATTGAAAGTTAGAATGCCGTATCGAGGGAGGGGGGGGGGTAAGGAGTATATTTCCCCTCCCCCCCCCCCAAGATATTTTGTAAAGGAGGGCCATATTTTCACCAACACCCTTTCTAAGCTAGTGCCCTTTTTTTAGGCCATCTGACAAATGTCGGCAGTTGTGTCGCCATGAAAAGTGCCTCCTATTGTCTGATAGTGCCCATGATAGTCCGATAGTGCCATGAAAAGTGCCAGTTATTGTCTGATAGTGCCCATGATGGTCCAGTTTGAACAGCACTCCCATAGGAAGATGATGGCTAGCCAGCCCAACACCCCCCCCCCCTTTTTTATTTTACGGAGGCCCTTCAGCACAGATGGGCTAGTGCATTTTCTCACGCCTACCCTCCCCCCACCCCCCCCCCTCCCGCCTTAAATAAAAATGACCTTGCTAGGACTCTGATAAAGCATACTTACAATTTCTCCACAACCCCTATCCCCTAATAAAAAAAATAATCATCAATAACTATTTCAGCTACTGATTCAACAGTATTATTTGACTTGTGACAAAAATCTGTGTCATTTTTTTATCGAAGTTTCATGGATGAAAAATCTTTGAATTAAGGTAGTTTAATACATGTGGGTTGTTGCTTTTGTTTTTGAAGAGCAACGATTGGATTTTTTTGTTGCAGAAAAGCAAAGATTAAACCCAGACTGATCAAAAGCAGCCATTGGATTAAGTTTTCATTTTAGTAGCAAATATCATTGCACTGTTAAGTTTGGAATAATTAATTAATCATTCCATTTGTATCTGTTGTAACAGGAATCAAGAGTCGTAAACCAGGCTCCACATCAGTCATCCTGGCTGGAAGTTGTATGAGGCTATGGAGAAGACAATTGGAGAAGAGGCTTGTTGTATGACACAAGTAATGGTGAAGCCATCATCAGTCTCCAGCAGCTCATTCTCAGGTCCTTGGAAATAACTCCAAGCCGTTGACAGATTCTGTTGATCTTTGCAGTGACCATGAGATCTTCATTGATGGTTTAAGAAATCCACCACAATGTTACTTGCATGGTTGTCACACTCCTTAAATTTTTGGTATTTTTGGCAAATTAAGAAAAAATATCAGAGGGAATGAAATTGGGTACTATTAACAGCAAATGAGGCTAACCTCGCAAAGGCAAGTTAACAGGCATATCTGAAGGCAGACAACATTAATGTTTACATTTGAGGAACTATAAGGACTGACATTACACAGCTTCAAGGGCTGAGGTTTGGGGGGATGACATATGTCCCACTTTTAGAGGGGGGGGGATCCCCCAGATTTTTGTTTTACAAAAAGGAGACAAAAAGAGGAAAAATAAAGTAAGAGGTCAGTAGCCATTACGAAAATGTATCATCCTCATTCCCCCCCCCCCCACTTGTAGATTCGAATCTGCAACCTTGCACACCTGTCTTCAAAGTTCGACGTAATGCAACCATAGAGCAAGGACCTAGGCCTGTTCACTAACAGTTGGGGTACAAGTTACAACTCTAATTCTACAGCAACAGTTATATAACGAGTGGTCATCTTTAAGTTTGTGGTCCACTTTACTCCTATCCCTGTTACCTCTGATAAGTGATTTCATTTGTAAATTCTAGATGCCCACTTTTCCAGGAGTGATTCTATAAAGCAAACAACATGCCCAACAAGTAAATGACAGTCATGGTTAATGCAGAGATGTGACTTTTCAGGTTTTAACCTGAATTCAGGGTGGTTTTTTTGTTCCAAAACATCCAGAACACACGTTTTTAAAGGGGGTAAGGGTAGTTTCGGGTTTTTTTAGAAGTGTTTCAGACTTTCTATTGATATATTGGTGGCATCTCTGTTAATGACACTTGAATGGCAAAAAAATGTGCATTTAAACAGTTTACAACATGCACCTCTCTTTGTTATCTGTTCAGCCGTCTGTTTTGTCTCGATTTGTATTTTGCGTAATTGCATGTTCTCTCAAATGTATTTCATGAATAAATGTTATTAATTGAATAAAATACCTTTAACTTAAAAGTGGAGTAAACCAGCTGAGTTTGGTATGGAGTATTTTATTGGTACTGACTGATGTTATGAGCTTGCAAGTAATTACATGCAATTAACTGAGAATGGGATGGGCAGCAAGCATGGGCGTCGCGAGCCCCCCCCCCCCCCCCCCCCCGGAAATGCAAATAAAAAGAAAATAGGCGCAAAGTCATATTGTTGTTAATTTAATGGGTTGGGGGCAAATGTCCTGCCCACCCGCGGAAAATGAAAAATTGAGAATATGCTGGGAAAGTATTTCGGGACGGGGGGATGTGCGATGGCCCGGCAGCAAGTATCATCCCTTGCGATTTCATTACAGGGGTCTGTGTATTAATTGTTGGTACTTCAGAAGTGGTCCTCAAAGCACTTAGAATTACTCAAACTCAACCACCGCATGCACTTTCAAGATCAAGACACTACGAAATTAGAGAAAGAAATCAAGAAGCTCTCAAACTCAACCTTGGCACCCCACTTCACCCCCTTCCACTCCACGTACCCCCCCCCCCCCCACCAAAAAAATGATTTCAAAAAACGCAGAAAAAAAGAATTCTCAGCAACCCTTTGGCGTAGTGCATGTGTTAGGCAAATGCATTAATGCATTCCACCAGCAATAAAGATCAGTAATGAGGTCACTTTTTTTTTTATCAGTTCGCGCATCGACGCCGAGCCGATAACTGAAGCCTCCCGAAGCCTGACCGTACGAAACGTTTCGGCTGCCATTTGGTTTTGTAATCAAGCCTAGCCGAGCCGAGCCAAGCCCGAACCTAGCCCGTAGCCTGAAGCATCTAGCCCCAGTTGGTAAACGGGTATCCTTATCATGATGCGCTGGCGACCCAGCCAAGTAAGGTTTAATAACAAGTGCTGAACAAAATAACAAAACCGTATTCTTTTAAAAAAAAAAAGGCCTTAATATTAACTAGCGGAATCCCGTCTATCGCGGCGGATCTCAACCGGCAGCGTATTGCAAAGAGTTTTAAAAAAAATTCATATTTCATGTCAAATGTGTTTTTATTCCAATATTCATTACTATTTTGTATCAATGTAGCCCCCCTCCCCCCGCCTGTATGCGAAATAGGCCCACAAGTTAAGGTTTTTTTGTGAAATCCCCCGATTTTGGAAGCCACCAGGGGCGTAAATCCCGGTGTTTTAATCGTTACTTTGTTTGCATGAGATTTCACAATTAAAAATACCGATTCACCGACGCGAGGATATAGCAAACAAGATTGCGAAGCCAAGGGCGCTACCATCTTGTCTAAATTCCAGTATACAGGGTGAGTAAAAAAAAAAACACCAAATGTTGGGACCATTGTTTAAGGAAAGTTCTGCATGTGTGGCGTTTTCAAAATCTAGGATATAAAAGCCCAATTCATATGCTTTGTTTTAGCACAAAAATCATTCAAATCACTCATGTACTTTTTAAGTTAACGGAATTTTAAACACAACCGCCGTTTTAAGGTTCTGTCCACGGATCGCAAAAAAGTTCAGTGTTCTTTCAGAAAAACGAAAACAAATCACATAGGGATGTTGTTTTCGTTTTGCTTAAAGAACGTACACCTTTTTGGTGATCCGTGGACAGAACCTTAAAACGGTGGTTGTGTTTAAATTCTGTAACTTGAAAAGAACATGAGTGACTTAAATGATTTTGAACTAAAAGAAAGCTTATGAATTGGGCTTTCATATACCAGATTTTGAAAGTGCTACATGCAGAACTTCAATAAAACAATAGTCCCGACATATGGGTTTCGTTTTTTTTTACTCACCCTGTACTACACTAAAATACGTGCTCATAGGAAACAATGCAAAATCGGACACAAACAGCGCCGCCTTGTGGCAATGTGTTTTCCACTGGAAATGACAGATTACAACACGACAATTTTCTGTTCAATTTTACCAGAGGTAGCCACGAACAATAAATAATATGTTCCCCTCTCTCAAAACCACCCCGAAAACGGCTGCCAATCCGTGGGCCCAGGTCTAAATGTAACCCCCACCTGTATGCGAAATAGACCTACAAGTTGGGAATTTTTTTCCCCGAGTTTGAAGCCACAAGTCACAAATGCTTGATTTCACATAAACAATTTTTGAGGATGATGGGGGCGTACGCAGTGCCTGCCTTTATTGCGGGGTCCCTTTTTAAAAACAAAATGGGTTCTTTTTGGGGGGGCGGGGGTGGCATAGCGCCCGTTACCCCCCCCCCCCCCCCCCCCCGGATCTGCCCTTGCCACAGACATGCATGCAGACCACCTGTAAATAAACTGCCATAGACCCCAATGATAAATACCTTCACTTCAGAAATTCAGGGAAAATACTCTGTCACAACTCTCCAAGGTGTTCGAGACGAGACACAAATCAAATAAAAGCTTATTTCATCATCTCTCATTTTTTTTGGGATGTAATGATAACTTGTGGGAGCAATTTTCATCCAAAGAAGAAGATAACCCCTAAACAAGTCATGATGCCCATCAATTTGAGAAATGATGCCTAGCAAAAAGCGCGCACTTTTAAGGCACATCGAAATGTCCCAGAAATACAAGATCACAGTCCTGTGCACGGCTTTCCACCTCCTTTTGTTTACAAACCTTCAAGTTCACGGCCCACAAAATGCTCTAATAGCAGAGAATTTGAAAACGGTCAGAAAAACATGATATAAGACATTTTCAGCAAACAGCACCAGAAAATGTAAAATACACAAGAGGCAGGGATTGCAAAGGGTGAGTCAAAAAGAAAGTGACCAGGAATTCATGATATTCCCCCTTAAAAAAAGCAATTCAATATGCACGTATTAAACGAGCATCATCAGTGTGGGAAAAAACGAGAGCTATACTGAAAATGATCCGTGCTATCAGATATTATCTATATATTACCAAAAGAACCCCGGCATTTCAACAACTGTCCATGGAAATTGGAGATTATGGAGATTATAACACAGGCATTCAGATACAAACGAGCGTTTAATAATCCGAGTCAAGACTGAATCATTATTTTCATTGTCAGGTTTTGTGTTTTGTGTATGAGGAACAAATCTTTTTTCTCTCTCTCTCTTAAATTATGATGGTAATTTTTGTCTGTTTCCCTTTGCAAGTTTTCGTTCATTTGTGGAGGTAGAAAACCCAATTGTTCATTCTAATTAAAAACATATTCATCAATGCGTATCGGTAAATGATCAGTGGTGGGCAGCTGAACTTTTTTCCATTAAAATAGGGATAACTTTGTGACATGAGTATGCAAAATACGTGGAACTTTCACAGTTACTAGAAGGGGCATAATTCCCCCCCCCCCTCCCCCACTTTGAGACCAGGGGGTGGGCTATTGAATCATCCCCCCAGGGGCGGATCCAGGAATTTTCGCAGGGGGGGGGGGTTTCATCAGCAAAACAATCTGAAAATGTACACAGGTTTTTTTGGTATTATATTTCAATAGGGGGCGATGTTCAAATTCGACGATTATTAACGCTAGATTACAAAATGGTGTACCGTATTTTGAACAGGCGGACATTATACCAGTATAACTTTTTGGGGGACGTCACAGCAGGGGGGGGTCGTAGTTTTTTTTAGGAATTTGTATATATATATTTTTTTACAGAGCTGGAGGAGGGGTTGACCCCAAAACACCCCCCTGGATCCGCGCCTGCCCCCCCCCCCCATGAGAAAAGAAAAATGTGGATTTGAGGTATTTTTCGAATATCCGAACAACCCAAATGTATTCAATGGCATTGAAAAGTGGAGAAACAAAGTACAAAAACTTTTAAAGTGCGCTGTTTGATGTATGCGCGAGTACACATGTTGATCTATATCCTGAAGAGCGCCCCCTAGTGTAATGTGGTGTACAGCCCCAGCCCCCCCCCCCCCCCCCCCCCCCAGCCTGAAAAAAATAATCATGACTATAGGTTAAAAGGTTTTGGAATTTTAACTAATTAATTATTCATATTCAATGCTGCTTTGTGTACACATATATATATACGCAAGGGAAATTCAGTTTTCATGCCGCATAGCGCCGGAAAAAAATCGTTGTACCCATGGTCGGAATTGTATGTTTTTGGTATCATTAAAGATGCGCAAGAGTCGAGGCTAAAAAGCCAGGAAAGTTCGGGTCGGGACAAATATTTTTTGCAAGGGTATCGCAGAAAACGTTGAGAGGGGGCTCGTACCAAACTTCAAATGGGGGCGCTGTTCAAATCCGACAATTTTTAACACTATACAGAATAGTTTACAAATACTTCCTAGTATACAGCCTAATCAATTGCATGCCATTCGTCATGGTAACGGCATAATGAAATGCATGTTTCCTGACTTTTTCGTATGAAGAAACAATTCTAACCAACGTCAAAGCTGCCGTATCCATCTTAAGAAACATGTCATGGTTTTGACGGAACTTCATCTCGACACTTTTCTTGTTCCACCGGAATTTTCTCCAAGCCTCCTTCCCGCCCGGCTGGCTGAAATTGCATCAGTCTTGATGCATCCTACTCCCTGACAGGATGAATTGGTTTGGGGCCTCGGAGGCGTGTAACCGACCAGGAGGCAGCATGATTGTGCCCAATTCACTGGCGGAAAACCTCTTCATCTGGGAGTCATTGGTAACAGGTACCGGTGGACTCTGGGTTGGTTGTACGGGTGCGATTCATGAAGGTGTCTGGCTGTGCGATGGTCGGCCTATACAATACATCAACTTGCAAAGCAGCTTTCCAAGCACAAGCAAAAAACGTGACTGCGCCCGTATAGACCGTTATCATGCTGCCACCATTTCAGTCATGTTCCCTGTATCATTTTTGTGCAAAAAGGAACTAGACTATTTTTCCCTTTCAGCCTCGCTTTGGTTACGTTGATTTGAATGGGAAAATCAAGATGGCCGCAACATGATAATGGTCTATACCCGCCTACAAAGGATGGCGCTGGGTCGATAATCATATGCGACAAAGAACAATTTGCTGCCTAATGTGACATGACGCCCTCTTCTGTGCCAGCCTACCACACTTTCGGTCCCGATGGGCGTGTCCTTCAGCGA